TTTTTTTTTTTCGGGGATTCCCTTTGAACGTGGCCGCTGTCCGGTCAAACCGACTCCGAGAACACACACACACACACACAAGGGAACTCAGAACCTCAACGAACGCACCACTCCCTGCTGTAAGCATACAAGCAGACAGCAACAGGCAATGTCGACTGCGCGACGCGACAAGCTGCTAAGCATTGAGGCAGCGGCACAGGCGCGGTGGGCAGATGAGAAGCTACACGAACTCGACGCCCCGCGTAGCGGTGAGCAAGCGCCGCCCAAGTATTTCGTCACCTTCCCGTACCCCTACATGAACGGCCGTCTCCATCTTGGCCACGGCTTCTCCCTCACGAAAAGCGAGTTTGCGTCGCGCTTCTGGCGGATGAAGGGGCGCCGCTCGCTATGGCCGTTCGGCTTCCACGTGACAGGTACTCCCATCGCCGTCTGTGCACAAAAAATACAGAAGGAGATTCAGAAGTACGGTAACCCGCCACAGTTCCCTGAAGGTGTGGAAGAGAAGGCTCCAGAGGAGAAGAAAGAGGACCCCGCCGTCATTGGCCAGCACAAGAGTAAGCGCGGCAAGGCTGGTCCAGCGAAGCCACAGTGGATCATTATGCGGAGTATGAACATCCCCGAAGATGAAATTCCCAAATTTGTTGATCCCCAGTACTGGCTGGATTATTTCCCTCCCATTGCAATGAATGACCTGAAGCGGTTCGGGTGCCACATCGACTTCCGCCGTTCCTTCATCACAACTGACCGCAACCCGTACTANGATCGTTTTATCTCGTGGCAATTCCGCCACCTGCGCAAATCAAACCTGCTGGGCTTCGGGAAGCGGTACTGTGTATACTCGCCGTGGGACGGTCAGCCGTGCGCCGACCACGACCGCGCAAGCGGCGAGGGTGCACTCCCGCAGGAATACACGCTGGTAAAGCTGAAGGTGCAGAAGCCAACAGAGCAGTCGGCACTCGCACCTTTTAGTGAAATCATTGGTGATCGCGCCGTCGTCTTGCCAGGTGCTACGCTGCGCCCAGAGACAGTGTGCGGTCAGACAAACTGCTGGATTTCTCCTGCTATTCGTTACAAGGCGTACGGTGTTCAAAACAAGGATGGTACGGAGAGCATCTTTATCATGACTGCGCGTGCGGCACGAAATATGGCTTATCAGGACTACGTGATCAACGGCAAGACTGGCACAGATCCTTCACCCCTGTTTGAGGTGGATGGGGCGCAGCTTATTGGTCTGCCGCTCTCTGCCCCGCTCTGTCCCTACGAGACTATCTACACGCTGCCGATGCAGACCATCACAGAGGCTAAGGGTACCGGTGTTGTAATGTCTGTGCCCTCTGACAGCCCAGATGACTACATTAACTACACGCAGCTCGTAAAGAAGCCCGAATACCGTGCCAAGCTAGGTCTAAAGGATGAATGGGTGGCCTTTGATATGGTTCCTATCATTGAACTCCCAGGAGAGTTGGGACGTGAGGCTGCCAAATTCATGTGTGAAAAGCTAAAGATAAACGGACCACAGGCGACAGACCTGCTAGATGAGGCCAAGAAGGTTGTTTACCAGGCGGGATTCTATCAGGGCGTAATGATTGCTGGCCCATTTTCTGGCGACAAAGTTTCCGTCGCAAAGGTAAAGACGCTTAAGGTTATGGAGGAGCAAGATGACGCTATCCGTTACTATGAACCTGCACGCCTCGTTGTGAGCCGCTCCGGTGACGAATGTGTCGTGGCACTCTGCGACCAGTGGTACATTGAATACGGGAAGGAGGAGTGGAAGAATGCTGTGGTGAAGCACTTGGAGAGCATGAATATGTTCTTCCCTGGTGTGCGCAATGGATTTGAGGAGACGCTCAACTGGCTCTCAGACTGGCCATGCAGCCGCACCTTTGGTCTCGGTACAAAACTTCCATGTGACGAAACCGGAACAATGTTGATTGACAGTCTGAGTGACTCAACGATTTATATGGCGTACTACACCATCGCCCATTTTGTGCACACAGCGCCGGACGGCACGCACCGCCTAGAGGGATGTGCCGAGAATGTTCTTGGTGCCACACCGGAGATGTTCACCGACGAGACATTCGATTACGTGTTCCTTGGCAAGGGCACACCGGAAAGTGTGCATGCCGTGAACGGCCTCCCCGTTGAGGCTGCGAAACGCATGCGAGAGGAGTTCACGTACTGGTACCCCGTTGATCTGCGATGCTCCGCGAAGGATCTCATCCAGAACCATCTGACTATGTTCCTCTACACACACGCCGCTATTTGGCCCGATGACTCCAGCAAGTGGCCACGGGCCATTTTTGGTAACGGCCATATTCAAGTCGATAATGAGAAGATGTCCAAATCAAAGGGGAACTTCATGTCGCTCGCAGAGACCATTGACCAGTACGGCAGCGATGCGACACGTCTTGCCTGTGCAGATGCAGGCGATAGCCTTGATGACGCAAACTTTGTGCGTGAAACTGCGGCTGGCTTCGTTCTGAAGCTTACGGCTGCGATGGATGGCGCGCAGGAGCTGCTGAGCAAGAAGGACACTCTTCGCTCTGGGGAGTTCAACATCTTTGACCGGATCTTTAGGAACTCCGTCAACTCCATTATTGTGCGGACGGAGAAGTACTACGAGGAGATGCAGTTCCGTAACGTGCTCAACCTCGCCTTCCATGAGATGACAAACGAGTTTAACCAGTACAAGCTGAATTGCGACGATCTGCAGGTCCACCGCGACCTCGCGGAGCGATTCGTCGAGGTGATGACGCTGCTGCTGGCGCCGCTGGCACCACACTTTGCAGAGCACATGTGGTCGGCGGTGCTCGGCCACGATACCTCTGTCGTGTGTGCGCCGTTCCCGACACCGACGGGCCCCGTCGAATACGCCACACTCGTCGCGAGTCGCGTCATGACGGACGCCGTCAAGGAGATACGAACGCAGGTGATGAAAAACCAGAAGAAGCGTGGGCCCATTGACGAGGTGTGCGTCTACACTGCCGCGACCTTCTCAGAGTGGCAGCGCAAGGCCCTGCAACTGCTGCGTGAGCTCTACGAGGCAAACGGCAAGTCGTTCCCCGCGGACTTCTCAAAGGCAGTGATGGCACGCAAGCAGGACTGGATGACGAAGGACATCCTCCCCGACACAATGGCGTTCCTCTCCTTCACGAAGGCAAATGTGGAGCGCTACGGCGAGGAGGCACTCGCCGAGACGCCCGCAATTAACGATGCGGAGGTGCTGAAGAGCGTTCAGTCGAATATCTGCAAGCTGTCGGGCGTGGCAACGCTACACATTCTCGCACACGACGACGAGACATTCACGGAGCACCAGGCGGCGCGCCGCAAGTGCCGCCCCGGCGAGGCAACAGTAGCCATCCCAGCCAAGAAGAAGTAAAGGATGAGTGTCTGGTGGAAAATGCTGCTGGGGTGGTGGGGGTGCGTGAGGTACGAGCGCCTAACTTGACGGAGCCGCTCGCACAAGAGTGAAACATGAATTTGAGAGGTAGAAATAAGAAGCTTGGGCACTGAAAAGGTAACGGAAGAATACAATTTAAGTTTGGTAACCAATATTGCAAAACAAATTGCGGCGTAAGCTGAAAGAAACATAGGCTCATAAATAAATATATATATATACATATATATAAGAAACAACAAATTAAATGCCGAGTCGAAAGCTGTTTAGGGGCGGCACTCGACCAATAGCTGCAGATTTAGCTGCGTCTTCCTTCATCTCTCTATCTTCCCCCTGTTTGCATGCGTGCGTCCGTCTTCCCTCGCCATTATCGATACCAACGTGTGAGTTGTGGGGGAACACGTGGTGCGCAGCACACACAGGCAGAAGCGCAATCTTGCTCACCGAGAGACAAAAAAAGAGGGCAAGAAACACGGAAATAGATATATTTGTCTCCAACGGAAGGGATGGAGGGAGTGGGACTATGACTGCGTACACAAATGATGTTGGTGCGATTCAAGCAATGAGGTGCACTGTCCACGCTTCTAATTGTATGCCGCTGCTTCGCTCTATTGCGTCTCTCTTTTCCTCGTGCCTCTTGATTATTACGGTTATTACGGCGCGGTGCGGCTCAAGAAGACATATACAATAGACATACACAGACATACTGTTCGCTGGAGAGGCCGGCAGCATGACAGACGGTGCGAAGCCCGGCACAAAGGACAGCGCCGCGGGGAGCGGCGCTGCGCCGTCGTCTTTGGCGTCACCGGCGGCGGACACCATCACGACTCTGCTGCTGGGCGTGGCTGTAAGAGCGACAATACAGGAGGATTTGGACTACGCCGCGGATGTTCTACGCCGCGCTGTCGCGCGGACCACACGCGTGTGGACGCAGAACACCGCGCTCCATGACACATCGGAGAAGGCGCGGATGAGGGCGGCACTTGTGCTGGACACCGTCAACCGCATTGAAGAGGCATCGGGGACGAAATGAGATAAATATATATATATATATATAT